CCACTGAACTACATCCCCATCTCATTTTAGAAAAATTTTTAATAATTTTTTATTTTGAGGCAGGATTTTGCCAAGTTGCTTAGTCCCTTGCTAAGTGGCTGAGGTTGGCTTTGAATCTTCACTCCTCCTGCCTCTGCCCTTGAGCCACTGAGATTAAGGCATGTACCACCACACCTGGCTATGGTTTTAGATATACCAAAGATAAGAGGATTTTTAACCATTAAGAACCTGCCTTGTGTAATTATAATGCACCAATAAAATATGGGGAAAAAGAAGAACCTGCCTGCTTTGTATACCCTTACAAACTTCCTCTAATATCTGCTAGCCAGAGATAAGATAAACTGTAGGTTTATATAGACCCCAGGCCACAGTTACACTTTAGAGTACTCTGGCCTAGAGCCCCCTGGTCATGCTGCAGAGTTACACCACCTAGATACTTAAGCTCGCTCAAATTCTCTCCTCCCCCCAGAAATCCCCTTGCCCTCCTCCCCTTAATAAAATAAAAAGGGGGAATTTGAACACAGAGACCTTCACACACTGAGGAAAGATGATGCAATGATGGCTATGTAATGATGCCTGAGGGGAGGGGTCTGGTGGCAGTTGCAATTCACAGATTGCCAGCCACCACCAAAAACTAAGAGAAAAGGAAGGGTTCTACCCCAGCAGAGTCTCAGAGAGAACTAGCACCTTGATTTTTGATGTCTAGCCTCCAGTACTCTGAGGCAATAAAATCCTGTTGTTTAAGCCACCTAGTTTGAGGTCCACCTAGTTTGGGGTACTTGGTGATGGCAGCCCTATCAAGTTAATATGCCAAGGAATATTAGCAATAAAAGGAATGATAAACACTACAACTTGAAGAATTATGCTGAGTTTTTTTCAATATTTAATTTTTTGTTGTAGTGGACACAATACCCCCATTTCATTTATTTTTATGTGGTGCGGAGGATCGAACCTAGGGCCTCGCACATTCTAGCAAGCACTCTACCACTGAACACAACCCCAGCCCCTGAGTTGTTTTTTATAAAGGCCAATAGCAGGAAGATCGACAGTTGGAGGCCAGCCTCAGCAACTTAGTGAGGTTCTAAGCAACTTAGCAAGACCCTGTCTCAAAATAAAACATAAAAAAGCTCAGGGGATGTGGCTCAGTGGTTATGTATCCCTGGATTCAATCCTCAGTATCTACCCACTGGCCAAAAGGCTAATCACAAAGTGTTACATGCTGTATAGTTCTATTTATATACTATTTTTGAAATGGAAGCATTTAGAAGTGGAGAGCAGGCTAGTGGTTGCTAGGATTTATGGATGGGACTAGGGGATAGGGAAGGAAGATTGTGGATGTGGCTATAGAGGGGCAACACAAAGAATCCTTATGGCAATGTTCTGTATCTTGGTAGTGGTGCTGGATTTATGAACCTACACAAATGATAAAATTGTATATAAAGGAATACACACACAAGTATAAGTAAAACTGAGGAAATCAGAATCAAATTAAAGAATTATATGTCAATATTCTGGTTGTGATAATTTAGTACAATTTTGCAAAATGTTACTGAAACAGACCCCCCTCTTTGAAATTAAAAACCACTTCCTGATAACTGCCTTACTTCCTTATGCTAAGGACAAAGGCCAAGGAAATTAAAACTGACATGTTCTCTGGCTAATGACAGCCTAACTAAATATACTGATATATATTTCCTGCCTTTGGTCCCACTGTGCCTCCTCTTCTCTTACAAAAGCTTTCTGAGTCCCCAAGTCTCAGAAGATGAAGATTTGTGACAGAAAAGGTTTCTATCTTCTTTCTCAAAGCCAGCTTTGAGTAAACCTATTTTCTTTGCCAATATTTCTCCCAAGTTTCTGTGGAGTGGAAGGATTGTTTTTAGTTCCCCCAAATGGCAATGGAACCAGAAACATTTCAGGGAGCAAGCAAAGTGTCTATGTGTCTCTCTGAATTATTTTTGACAATTGCATGTAAGTCTCCAACTATCTCAATAAAAAAAAATGTCAGTTGGAGCCAAGCACGGTGGTGGCACACACCTGTAATCCCAGCAGCTTGGGAGGTTGAGGCATGAGAATGGCAAGTTCAAAGCCAGCCTCAGCAACTTAGCAAGACCCTGTCTGAAAACAAAAATATAAAAACGGCTGGGGATATGGCTCAGGTTAAGGGCCCCTGGGTTCAATCTCCAGAACAACAAAAACTGTCAATTAGAATAAAGCATCATTTGGCTGTTGACTTAAAGAAACTTTCATAACCCACTTGAATCAAATGTATGTTAGATGATATGTCAAGAACTGTGTAATGTTTTGAACAACCAATAAAAAAAGAAACTTTAAAGGGCAAAAGTGGAAGCAGAACAGTTATGATTATAGCAGTAGAAGTAGAGAGAAATAGTTGGATTCTGAATATATAGTATTTTGAAGGCAGGACTAACAGAATTTGCAGACAGATTTAAGCATGGAGGGAGGAAAAAAAGAGATGCCAAGGATGACATCAAAGTTTTAAGATGGAGAAGGCTGCAGGAGAGGGTTTGGCAGTAAGGCGGAGGGGGGGGAGAGATTTAGATAGTAAAACTTGGGGACTGGGTGAGATCATCAAAGGAATAATTGTAGGTAGAGAAAAGAGGGGAAAAAACCCTAAGAACTGAGATTTCAAAGAAGGTTCTCCAAGAAGGGCCACAAAAAGTTTGCTACCCAGTTATAAAAGTATGGAATATGTAGGTGTGTGAATTCACAGACTACTTGTAAGAAGGAGTCTGCAACCTACAAGCTGCAGATCATTGGGGCTGGGGTGTTTAGGGTGAGGTTGGGGCCTCAGGACTTGAGTTCATGTGCCATGCAAGGAACTTGGGAGTGAAATAACCTCTCATTCCCTGAAACAAACAGAATAGATGCAAAGTGGCTGCTTTTATATTCTGCAAAGGTATCCCTAAGGGGGCAGAAACTTGCTGTGTAAATATTGTAAAAAGGGACTTCATTCTGCCACTTGAACTCATCTTTTCACTGGGAGCTTGGTTGCTTCCTCCAGATCCAGCCTGTCAGTCTTATGGTTGATACAGATTCCAGGAGATGTGGCCCTGGCTGCCACTCTCTCCATCATGTTTCTCACCCCATCTGTTGGTTGATTCCTATTTCTCTGCACTGGTATTAGAATTCCCCTCTGGGAACCCAATTAGGGCAAGCTCACCAAGCAAAACGGATGTGCCCTCTGTATGAAATGTATACAGGAATGTTCAACATGTTGGTTTTGAAGCATCAAACTCACAGTACTCCCATAACATCTGTCATTCCTGGACAGGACCAGAGGGGGAAAGAATTAGAATACTTTGAGACATAGATGCCACCTACTGCTGCTCTGCCATGCCTGGAAAAGCAATGAAGCTGAAGGCAAGAGCTCAGTTTCCTAGGCCCCTGGTGAGGCAGTAAGCTCTGTAAGCCAATTAGTTACATGGAGGGTTGGAAGGTTGCTCAGTCTGGAGAAACGAAGCATGGAAAGGACTGGATGGAGACAGGAGCTATTTTCAGTTGTGAGGAGCATAGCTGTCACTGTTGATGACATGAGAATGAAGGAGAAAACTGCTTTCTGCATAGTGGTTTCAAAGCTCAAACCTTGTGATGTCAGCAAATTATAAAAGGTAGAGAGGATAGGCTTAGGTGAAGACAAACTTTTGATAGCCAGAGCCTACCTGCCTATCAACCTGCCTTCCCATGGCTGGTGCTGGGGCCCATTGCAGCCTTCCACAATGCCCTGTTGAACTCCCTTGGCCTTATGCCCCTGTGCAAAGTCCAACCTGCTCAACTCTACATAGCTGACATTCTCTTCAGCCTGCCCAATACTATACTTCCTCTGGTCTCTAGGCCCAAAGGTTGCCCAATCTCAGGCAGGTGAGAGGAGGGATTTCCTCCTTGAAGGCATGTGGAGAAGGAAACTAGAGAAGGTCTTCTTCAGTTTGTAGGGTGAATAAATTTTTTTTGTCAAACTTAGGGAGTGTTCACTTGTTAGCTGTTGGAATTATTCTTTCTGCCCCTTTCTCTTTATTGGAACTTTTACGAGGGCCACCATGCATATATGGTGGTATGATAGATGGTGTTCCACAGATTCCTGAGGCTCATTTCATTTGGAGAATAAAACTAGGAAGGGCTTCTTAAGCTTGTAGGTTGAATGATGGTTTTGTCAAATTTGGGAAATGTTGCTGGGCATGGTGGTGCATGCCTGTAATCCTAGCTGTTAGAGAGGCTGAGGCAGAAGGATCACAAGTTCAAAGCCAGCCTCAGTATATTTGCAAGGCTAAAAGAAATTTAATGAGACCCTTCCTCAAAATTAAAGAAAATTAGGAAAGGTTCAGCTGTTAGCTATTGGAATATTATTTATGCCCCTTTCTCTTAAGCATATGGTGGTATACTTTATGGCTCTGCTGATTTTTAATTTCTTTTTTTTTCTATTTATCACAGTAGGTTATCTTAATTGACCGTCTTCAAATTCACTGATTCTTCTGCTGGTTCAAATCCACTGTTGAGCCCTTTATTGAATTTTTCATTTCAGTGTTTGTAGTTTTAAACTCTGGAATTTCTACTTTGTTATTTTTTATAATCTCTTTACTGACATCCTCTATTTGATGAGAAATTGTTACTATACCTTCTTTTTTTAATATTTATTTTTTAGTTTTATGTGGACACAATATCTTTATTTTACATTTTTGTGGTGCTGAGGATCGAACTAAGTGCCTCATGCATGCTAGGCGAGCGCTCTACCACTGAGCCACAATCCCAGCCCTACTATACCTTCTTTTAATTCTCTATATGTAATTTCCTTTAGTTCTTTGAGCATGTTTATAACAGTTGCTTTGAAGTCTTTGTCTACTAAGGCCAACTGCCCTCTCAGACACATTTATGACATCTTATGAAGGTAAAATATGTCTAAACCTAGTTCAAGATTGGCTATAGCACATATATTTTGCATGTATCATAGCTGCATTTTTTTCCTGTCCACTTCTCTATTGATCCAGGCAATTAAGGAGGTGGCTGTTACTTTCCCACCCAACTATGTACCCAAACCTTGGTTCTGGTTCTCAATCATCTGAAGCTATGGTCTTGATCTCAGGGTTTGTGAAAAAGTTTGTACAATACCTTCTCTGATTCAAGAAGATAAAAAAATCTTTCACCATAAAAAAGGTAAGTGTTTAAGGAGATAAATATATTAACCCATTCTAAACATTACACAATGTATACAAGTATTGAATATATAATGCCTATTACTGCAGTAATATACACATTTTTATTTTATGAATAAGTTAAAAATTAAAAGAACTTAAAAATTTAAGCAATAATTAATGGTACACACTGTAATCCCAGCAACTCAGGAGGCTGAAGCAAGAGGATAAATAAAAGATAAAAGGGGGTGAAAGTACAGCTCATTGGTAGGGCACCCCTTGGTTCAATCCCCAGTATTCTAACAAAAAAATTTTTCAAGGTCAAAAACGCAAAGCAAACAAAAAAATTTATTTTTGTCACCTTTGGAGGATGCGAGGGAGCCAAAATCTATTATTCTAAATCCAGACAAAATAATATATAAGAAATTCCTACAACTTAACATATAAAAAAGACAAAACCCCAAACAATTTTTTTAAATATTTATTTTTTATTTTTTGGTGGACACAACATCTTTATTTTTATTTTTTATGTGGTGCTGAGGATTGAACCCAGCACCCCACGCATGCCAGGAGAGCACGCTACCGCTTAAGCCACAGCTCCAGCCCCAATAATACAATTTTTAAATGAATGAAGTATTTCAATAGACATTTCTTAAAAAAAACACAATTTATAAAACACAAATGAGCAACAGATATATGAAAAGGCTATCAATATCACTAATCATCAGGGAAATGCAAATCAAAACTACAGTGCCACCTCACACCTGTTATAATGATTATTGTCAAAAAAGACAAAAAGGATATAGAGAAAAAGGAACCCCTGTACACTTCTGATGCTGATGTAAATTGGTATAGCCATTTTGGAAAATAATAAGGAGGTACTTAAAAAAATGAAAATAGAACTATGTTATGATCCAGCAATCCCTCTTCTGGGCATATAGCATATCCAAAAGGAATGAAATCATATATCAAAAAGGAATGATATCATATGTCAAAAGATAGCTATACTTCTATTTTCATTGCAGTATTATTCACATTAGTCAAAATGTGAAAACAACCTCAATGTATACCAGCTGATGAATACATAAAGAAAATATGGTATATATAGGCAATGGAGTGTTATTTATTTTAAAAATAAGGAAATTCTGCCATTTGAATGAACCTGAATGACATTGTGCTAAGTGAAATAAGCCAGATACAGAAGGACAAACATTGCATGATATTACTTGTACATGGAATCTAAAATAGTTTAACTCATAAAAACACTGAGTAGAATAGGGTTGCTTAGGGTTTTAGTGACCAGGGTCATGTTATTCAAAGTTTACAAACTTTCACTGTGTGCAAGATGGATAATTCCTAAAGACCTAATGTATAGCATGGTAACTATAGGTAACAAGTAATGTATTTTCCACTTGAAATTGTATAATACAGTGTATCTTTTTTTTAAAGAGAGAGAGAGAGAGAGAGAGAGAGAGAGAAGAGAAGAGAGAGAGAGAATTTTTTAAATATTTATTTTTCAGTTTTCGGTGGACACACGTCTTTATTTTATTGTATATGGTGCTGAGGATCGAACCCAGCGCCCCGCACATGCCAGGTGAGTGTGTTACCGCTTGAGCCACATCCCCAGTCCTAATACAGTAATTCTTAAGTATTCTTATCATGAAAAAGGTAACTGTGGGGGCCAGGATTGTGGCTCAGTGGCAGAGCACTTGCCTAGCATGTGTGAGGCACTGGGTTCAATCTCCAGCACCATATAAAAATTTTAGAAAAACAAATAAAATGAAGGTATTGTGTCCATCTACAACTAAAAAGAGAAAAAGTTAAAAAAAAAAAGGTAACTGTGTCAGGTGATGTGTATGTAAACTACCTTGATTGTGTAGATCACTGCACAATGAATACATTTATCAAAATATCAAAATGTATACATTATATATTCCCATTTATTGAGAGAGAGAGAGAGAGAGAGAGAGAGAGAGAGAGAGAGAGAGAACAAATAGAAATTATGTGCTTCCTACAATGGTGCAATAAGAACTACACAGAACCATATATGTTGTATACTTACCCAAATCAAATCTGAATCCAGTTTAGATTCTGACTAAACTGGATTTTATTTCACAGGCAATTCAGAGAATACAAGAATATGAATGAATGAAATAACACAATGATCATCAGAAGAAATAGGAAAACATTGGAACTCAATGGATAAAATGAATGAATGAAATATACATAAATAGGTCTACTTTTCCTAAAACAAGTTGCAAGAAAAAAGGAGAAATTACATTACAAGTGATATAAAAAGTTTCTATTACATGAAGAATAATAGTGGTTACTTAAATATGAATGTCTCTATCCAGCTTGCTAAAATAAAATACAAACATAGGCAAACACTCATATCCAGTAGACCTTACATTGGAATCTAAGCTTGAGGGGAGAGTTGGAGATAAACTATGGAGTGGACATAAAAGACAAGTGTGGGGATTTAGGGATGAGAGAACCTAGATAGAATTACCAAATGAAAAACAAAATATGACTAAATGTAGGAAACATATTGAGAATATGTCTCAGATGTAGCAGATCAAAGCACCAACCACTAAGAAATCTAAAGGAAGAGCATTAAGATTTCCTGGGACAAAGTAAAAGTCTTCAACAGTATATATGAACAAAAATTAAATACCCCAAAAAAGTGGAGAGAAGTCAGACTGGCTAGGGAACAAGCTACTCAGAATGAAATTATGGTGAGTTCCCTACATTTTCTTTTTGCCTCATAGATTCCAGGGTTACAGCTGAAGAAATTAGCAACTTGGAAAGGCCAATAGACACAAATAAAGAATACCACAATGAAAATGTCTTCTCTATATTCAACAAGCCAGGAAACAACAGCCTAGCAAGACTGGAAATGTTTAAGCAATAATCACTGTACTCCAGCTAACTTCACCCCAAATCCTGGCTTCCGCCTCCACTCTTGTCAGATTATAATGAAGTATAGCAACATCAACCACCACAGTTTATGAAAGAAGACCAAGGTTTACATCCCCACTGGACAGTAGTGATCCCACCCCACCCTCCTGCAGCATCAGCACAAACCATGCATGGACTTCCATCCATCCATGGAGACCAGAAGAAAATGGTACATTTTTCAATGGCTGAAACAAAAGAACTGTCATCTCAAAATCTTATATCACAAAAACATCCTGTAAGATTGAAGAATAAAGCAAAATGTGCTCAGATGAAGAAAAGTCAAAAGAATTTAGCATCACAGAACTATCCTGAAACCATCTGTTGGCTGATTCCTATTTCTCTGCACTGGTATTAGAATTCCCCTCTGGGAACCTAATTAGGGCAAGCTCACCAAGCAAAATTTTATTCAGAATTTTTGCATCTGTGTTCATTAGATATTGATCTACAGTTTTCTTTCCTTGATGTGTCTTTGTCTAGTTTTGGAATCAGGGTGATATTGGCCTCACAGAATGAATTTGGAAGTGTTCACTCTTTTTCTATTTCATGGAATAATTTGAGGACTATTGATGTTAGTTCTTCTTTGAAGGTCTTGTAGAAGTCAGCTTTGAATTTATCTGGTCCTGGGCTTTTCTTGGTTAGTAGGCTTGAATGGCATCTTCTATTTCATTGCTTGAAATTGATCTGTTTAACTTGTGTATATCATCCTGATTCAGTTTGGGCAAATCATAAGAGTCTAGAAATTTGTTGATATCTTCAATATTTTCTATTTTATTGGAGTACAAATTTTCAAAATAGTTTCCAATTATCTTCTGTATTTCTATAGTGCCCATCATGATATTTGAAACTATGGTTTTAAACAATGGTTTAAAGAAGTTCTCTGAAAAGAAAGGAAATGAAAAAAGATCCTGGAACATTAGGAAGGAAAGAAGAACACAAAAGCAAAAATATGGGTAAAATATTTTTCTTAAGTTTTTATGTTTTATTTGTTACCCATGGAGGAAAAATTAAATGCCTGATATAATTTTGTCTCTCTCTCTATATATATGTATATATGTACAGATATATATGTATGTATGTATATGAAATATTTAAGGCAACTATATGATATATTGGTGATGACTCAGAGATATAAAGAGAGGCAAGATTTTTATACTTTACTTGAATGGATAATATAATGACACTTGTAGATTGTAATTGTAGATACTGATGTCAATTCTCATTATTTATAGTAGTTATGGTTTATAACATTGCCTTTAACAATGAATTTGTGAATACTGAAATATTGCTATATTGTAATAAATTATCCTATATATTTATAGTATAGTATTCTATACATTGTTGGATTTGACTTGCTGAAAATTTTAGGATTTGTGCATTTATATCTGCAATAGACATTGGCATGAAAATGGCCTTTCTTCAAATACTTTTGTTATATTTTGATAAAATTTTATGCTGGCCTTATAAAACAAGTTGGCAAGTCTATCATATTTTGTTTTTCTCAGGAAAAACATGTGTTATATTTCCTCTTGAACATTTGGAATAATTCAGCAGTATTGTCATCTGGAGTGGCATTTTTTCTGGTGATAAATTTTTTAATAATATTTTTGTATTCATTAATAAACAATAAAACTCTTCACATTTTCAATTTGTAGTGTTGATTTTGGTAAATTATGTTTGTCAAAGAATTTGAATATTCATAGAAATTTTCAATTATTGGTATTAAGTTCATTGTAATACATTCATATTATAATTTTAATATCTGTAGAATGTGTAGTGAGTATCTCCTTTTATTCACAAAAATGGCAAATATTTTTCTTTTATATTTGCTTCATTAATCTTATTAGGGGATCTATCAGTTCTTTTTCTGTCTTCTTAGTAATGTAGATTATTGATTTTTTTATCTTCTCTAATATATATGTGTATATAATATATATGTATATTCAATTATACAATTTCCTGTAAGCCCTGATTTTAACAAAATACCAAAAATTTAATGTGAATTTCCTTTAGATATAGTTACAGATACTAAAATGAATAGTTTTTTTAAGTATTGGGGACT